GTGTGTTGGGGGGTGGGGGGAGCACAGACACTTGCCCGCCCTGGTGTGTGCCCATGCCCGGCAGCTCCTCGCACCCCTCGCTGCGACGGGAACCGTTCTATGGCTGCTGCTGGTGCATGGAGCTCCCACCAGCTTGAAATGCAAAATCTGATTTTACCTTCGTCGCACCAAGCTGTGTTGGAAATCGCATCCACCCTTAAAGAGTTTTTCGGATCCAGTGGAGACTTGTTATTAAATTTGAAAGGAAGGCTCGTTGCCAGAGCATGGTGTAAGTTCTCTCCTCCCCACCTGCCCTGATGTGCTGGCCGGCAGCAGTGGTTCTTCAGCCCCCGAGGCTGCTGAACGTCCCTTCAAAAGTGAAAAGATGGGTTTAGGCCATAAAATAACAAGGTTTTAGCAGGGGATGGCAGATCTTAGTTTGCAGTCCTTGGTGTCAAACCTTTCCTGGTAGTTCTGCGCAGAGATGAAACACTTTGCGACTTGGAGAAGCAAGTGAAACCCGAAGCGTATCTGACTCCTTAATTTAATAGGTATTAATTAAATCACTCAGAGAGCATACACAGTATGAGTGGGGAAGGCTTTCTCCCTCCTTCCGTGTAGGCATCTTGCAAAGGGACTATTTTTCTTGTTTTACATTAATGAAGTCTTCAGCCTTCCCACTTTTCCACCTACACATGTACTGAACGTCTCCAAGGAGACCAGGGAGCCCCGAGTCCGGTGCTGGCGAATCCTCCAGGAGCAGCGGGCTCAGGTCTCGCCCGCGGAGCCTCAGCTGTGCCACAGCCTGTCTCATGGGGATCGTCCTTGTGGTCCTCTGACCAGGGAGCCAGGAGGGAGCCAGGGCACGGATTTGCTCCTTATTCTTCGTTCACCCATGTTTTGTCTCAGCTTGCTTTCTTTTCCCCACCTAACGGAGAAATTAGGCCTCGCAGTCCCATGTCCAGGGAAGCTTTTCCCTCACTTTGCATGAAATTTTGCACCGGTCCGCCCCTACGTGGTGCTCTGCTCACGTTTGGGATCGTGTCCTTGGCCCCTCCATCTTGTAAGGCCACGCCATCCCTTCATGGCTCTGCCCCCTGCCGCCCGAGCCCCGCTGCTGGTCCATGACAAGCTCTCAGTGATTTGGGCAGGGTGAGATGCAGTCCCTGCTTATCGTTGCGTTCACTCCAGCTCCTCGCAGCTTCCTCAGCCTTCAGCACAGTCCCTCTGGATTTGGCACGGCTCCGCCTGCTGCTGGCTCTCCTCTTCCTCCTGCCATAACCTTCCAGAAACTTCCCTGGTTTCTCCGGTGCTCAGAAGAGCAGACAGTGATATACAACTGCCCTCTTCTGTAAACCTGACCTGACACACTGGAGGACCATGAAAGCTGTTAGCACATGAGCCTGCCCAGTAGCAAGGAGAGCTGTATGGGAATAAAAAGAACTGTATGATTCCTGGGAATCCACTGGGAATCCACTGGAATTCCTGCAGTTACTCATGGTGCTCACCCAGGAGCTGAACACCAGCTGCTGATGGTTTTCTCCTTAGTCTCTCCATGGGGAATCCAGTGGTGGGATATCACCCCACTGCATGCAAATGCCAAGTTGTTGAGTTTTTTTTGTGGAAGTCACTGCTTTCCTCAGTGGAGGTGTGTTGGGACTGGAGTGATGTCCACTGACAAAGGGATGCCTTGACCCTAAGCTGTGCGTGTAGCACCCCATGCCCTGTCTACTGTGAACTCAATTTTCAAACCTCTTTCCTCACAGGCTCTCCAGGTGGCACGGCAGCTTCTACTGCAACAGCAGCAGCAGCAACAGCAGCAGCAGCAGCAGCAACAAGTTAGTGGATTAAAGTCTCCGAAGAGGAATGAGAAACAGCCAGCCCTTCAGGTAAGGGGAGCCTGCGTGCCTCTGAGAGACTGTGGCTCCTAAGAGCTGAATAAATGTATCTTACTTGGGAACGTTGGGGTGGGACCTTCAGGACGTTCCTCCCAGTGAAGTCCCCAGAGCAGCTGTGGTTGATGCTGGTGGTGTGAGGACTAGTGCTAGGTGCTCTTGAAAATTCCCCACGTGGCATATTTACAGATCATGAGTGTGTACCTTTATTAGCTCGTGGTAGGGTTGAGTGGTGGCAGAATGGGCTAGCTTTTGTCCCTGTGTCAGCTGGGCTGGAGATCTGCATTAGGGGTTCTGTCTGATTGCTGTTCCGTTCGGAGCCTGTGTTCGCTCCAGCCGCTGATTCGCTGTGTCAAGGAGATTGGGCAATGGGAGGATATCGTAGCGTCGGTGTGTTTATTCCCCTTCTGTTGTCTGCTGATTTATGGACATCTTCAGAAATAAAATCTAAACATTATCAGGCTTTGTGCTGCTATGAATTCAGAAAGCGAAAACCAACACGGCGGTCCCAAGCAGAGGATGTATGCACACGTATGCGGCTTTGGAGTACATGCTGCTAGTCTTGTGGGATAAATCACAGGAGTTAAAGACAAGAAAGACCTATTAGGTCATGTTTCACATTTTCCTTTTTTTTGCTATTCTAGTGTTAGAAATCCCAAGTGGTGGTGGGACCGTTATTTTCCTTTGGATGGTTTTCCATAACAAAGCACACGCTCAGGAACTTTCCACTTTAATTCCATCCTCTTGCTCCAAGTGTAATACCGCTTGTATAAATACTGAGTCAGTCCCTTGCCTTGCCTCGTGTTCACACTCCTCAAACATCTGAGATACTAACATGTACTTGCCAGTTTTGGCAAATTATATGTATCTAGTTCTGTATGTATTTTGTAAACCGGCACTTCCAGACCCTTGACCACTTTGCTGGTTTGCAGCTGCTTATTGCTTTTATTATTGCTCTCTTTGCAATTGCAGCCTGTCGCTGTATTTTTGATAATAAGTTCCTGAATACAGCAGTTCAGCTGCAGTCACACAAAGCCCTGTCGCTGGGACGTTTATCTTATCTTGCTCTTTTATATCTGATGCTTCAGCCTCTGTAGCCCCAAATTCTTTCTGTTTTTTTTTTTCCCCGCTTGTTGTCATAGCACGTTGTCAAACTCATGTCTGTTTTGCTCTTTCTAATTTTTTTTTTTTAGTTTGATATACTATCACCATGAGCTCCTTGACAGCATTGCTGCTTTTCTTGCCTTTTATATATGCTTCAGATTATTTTCCTCCAAAAATACAGATCCTAAACCCTTTAAATATGTAGTAGAATATGGAAGGTAAAGTCAACATCACTAAAGGCCTTGAGAGTGAAGTGAGAGGACCCAATCCTGCCATTCTTACCCAAATAAATCTGACAGGGACTTCAAGGGGACTTTTGCCTGAGCGAGGAATAGCTATTAACTGCAGCCTTTGGCCCAGCGTGGACAACTTCTAGCTTTGGTGTAGTGATTTCATCTTCAAAGCATTTTGTAACTACTAATGCTCCAAAACAGCCCCAGAAGGAAAGTCTGATAAGTAAGTAGCGTTATCCCAGTTCTGGACCGGGAAACTGAGGGAAGCAGGTTAAGTGACTTGCTTAGGATCACAGAGGGAATTGGGTTTAGAGGTAGGATTAAGATTCTTGAGTTCCTGGCTCCCTTGCCCGTGCTGGGGCTGCGACAACACCTCACACTTTATAGCTGAACAATTATACTTTTGGAAAGTATGAAGCATTTTGTCATTGGGCAAATATACGTGTTATTGGCAGCGCAGAGCACCATAATCCAACGCGTTACATTAATACTTTCAAAAATATTTTATTTGGTAAATCCATAGCTGATCCATATGCCTTTTAATAGACTCTTCCACTGGGGACATTTTTAATGAGAGATTGTGCTGGCTAGGTCCAGTGTCAGGTACTAAAAGAAGTGCTTTGTTGTGCAGATGTCTTAAGAATAGCTCCAGAGGATGAAATATGACTGTGTTGACCTTTCAGCTGTGAGCTTATTTGTCAGGATTCAAATAAGTTGAAAGGATCAAACCAAACAGTTTCCGTAGTCAGACTGGGAATTGTGTTGCAGAGGTCAACAGTGAAGGCCACGTCGCGGATTCCATAACATAGCCAATTGTTGGTACGTATTAAAGTACTGGAGCAGCTCCTGCAGTCAGAGACACAATTAAAATTCTAATTTATTAATGTATACAGAGAGCTGGCCCAGCCTGTCACTCACCGATTCAAATGACTGCCCAGTCTTTTTCTTTTTTTTTTTTCCCCTCCTCACTCCTGGTGCTTTTGCGATCTTAAACGTGCTGGAAGTCCTCTTGAGTGTAGCAGCCCCAGGAGCCCCCGCGTGCATCCCTGCAATGAAAATGGGGGGCTGAAAGGAAGCGGTGCCGCCGGGGGGAGAGTTTTGGAGTCCAGCTGCCCTCACCCAAACACCCCCACCCCGAAGTGGGACGGCGCCGCCCTGACGAGGCAAAACCCGTGGCTGACAGCACTTAGATAAGTGCCAGGGGTGGTGGAAACGTGCCCGTTTTTCAGAAGTTTGCTTAAATAATGAACCGAGTCATCTTTGCACGGAGTTTATAAATATAGATGTCTCGTTCGACAGCCGCCGCGCTTAGCAGGTACCTGTGTTGATTCTGACAGGCAGACTTGGTGTGTAACAAGAGTAGCACAGGCATTGCTTATCTCTGCTGCGCCGGGCCAGGGCACGGGCAAAGAGCTGCCTGACGCGTGCTGGGGAGCTGGGCTGGTGTGAAACCAGGGGGGAGGCAGCTGCCCTTCACCTGGGGGGCTGGCTCTCCTGCTGAGATACTCGGTGTGGTCCCACACAGGGCTGGACGAACTCCCTCCGTCGTGGGCTCAGCTCCTCGGTGCTGGCTGGCAGATGTTGTCATGTAAACCCCACCACCGCAAACAGATGGGGGAAATTAGTATATGCTGTGTAGCTAATCTGTTGTTGCCTCGTGGACAATTTCTTATATTCCTTCTTTATTCACTGATCAAGTAGCCACAGTGTTTAAATACATAGCCGCCACACTGGGGCACGGTGCCTTCAATAGCATTGGTGTGACAATGGGCTCCAGTGGTGTCTTCAGGGCCTCTTGACCTTGATAACTCTACCTGAAAACCTTTTAGCAACTTTGGAGATACTTAGTGTGTAAGAACTTGAGCGCAGGAGTGGAGATGTGCTCTGCTGACAGTTGAAGAAAAAAATAAATCTCCAAATACACAATGACTCACATTTTGAGCCTATCTCACACTGCCGTGCTTTGTATTTGGCAGTGACCTCTGGTTTCACAGCCTGATGACACAAACAAAAGAAAATTGAAAGTTAAGGAATGGATTTAGTGACCAGCAGTTGGGAAAAGAATATAAAAAATATTCACCCCCACAAAAATTACTGGAAGTGAGAAAAGACTAAAGCATGTTTGGTAATATATTTGCCATAGATACTGGATTTCCTCGCATCTCTGCAACAAATAATTTAACAGGCCAGGTATGCTTAGGATTTTGAAAATGTGCACGTTTTTCCTGGCCAAGATAAATATATCTTTGTATTAATAGATGTATTGATTAAAATCTGCAGCTTTAATTGCTGATGCTCTTAACGATTATTCATTTTGGTTCTTCAAGCATTTTAGTTGCTGGCAAGAGCACAAAGATTGGAAACAAATCAAGAGACACATTTTTCTCCCAAGAAAGTAAAAGTGCATGTGTGTTTTGGCAATACTAAAAATACAGTTTTTATTTTTTTTTGAAGACGTAAATGTTGTGTGTTGCATTGAGTTGAAAGTTGGATACCGGACTGAAAACAGATTTAGGATGTTCAAGTCAGTATCTCACAATTCAAACCCATCACTTGACTTTTTTATGTGATTAGAGGAGATTTGTTGTGTGATAGTTAACCTGCTTGTGTTTGCAGAGAAGAAAAGATGAAATTACTAAGATGGAAACTTTTGTTTTCAATTGACAAAACAGAAAATAAATCTTCCCTTTAAGTCACGGCCAAGAAAAGAATTTGGGTTTGGTTTAGATTTTCAGGGTGAGACTGGGGGAGGCTGGGAGGACAGAGCTGTCCTCGCCTTTGCATACCGCTGCTTTTTAAAGCAGCCTTTTGGCTGGGCTTTTGTAGAATTTAATTTGCATGCTGTATTAGCTTAAGATTTCTTTCCAGTATCTTGAGAAATAGGAGAGGGCGAGCAGAAAAAAAAACACTGTAGCTTGGTGTTGGGGGCAGTTATTGTTGTTTTTTTATGAAATTAGCAATTGTTAGCTCCACACTGTGATAAACACTGAAAGGTGAAGGGAAGGGTGTTCTCTGCTTCACTTGGAGCACACAAGTACCAGGGTACGTAGCCTCAGGTTTTACACACAGTGTGGCTTTTTTACACAGTGGTAAATTTAACAACTGGTGGAGAAATTACATCTCAGCAGCTAATTTGGGAGCGGGAGTAAATTTGAAAGTGTGTCTGTTGTATTTCTATGAGCATCTCAACATGGGAGTTGATCTGAATTTGGCCTCAATCAGGCTAGTGGGAGTTTTGCCACCAACTCTAGTTGGGTCGAGATTCTACTTCTGCAGGGTTTAAATAGTTTGTTTACCTATGAAAATTTCACTTGAATCCTTTATTTTTGACTTCAGAAATAAAGCAAAATTGAGTTTTGCTGATTTGTACCAAAGGACCCATAGCTCTTTTATTTTTCCTCCCTAAACCCAGTTATTAGGTGTTAGTCAGTTCTTGGAATATGCCTGTGAAGTGCAAATACCATCCACCCCACAAACAGAATAAAATCTGAGTCAGGTCCTCAAAATGACATGATCAGCTTGAAAATTTTGATACTAAGGGGTTTTTTTTCATTGAAACCTGTGGGCCTTTTTTTGCCGCCCTTTCATATATATTTTTAAAAGCCTTTACTATTCAGTTTTTCCAGCTTTTCAGACTGAGCAGAAAGGTGACAAATG